AAAGGGTTAACATTCTTTATACCAAGCAGCTCCTTCATTGTCCAAGTATTACGTTTGGGATCATTTTGGAAGACCCAGCCATGTTCCACCTTCAATGCTTTCTTTTTCTCTTAAAGGAAGAAGGGTAGGAATTGTGAAGGAATACACATCCTGTCATGATCTTGGTGCTGATGTCTGATTTAGACAAACTTTATTATCATTTTGTATACATAGAGTGTATACAAAACAAAATTATGTTTTGTAAAGCGTTGACCATATTAATGCAAAAAATGCGTTGATATAGTCAGTTTTATGCAGAGCCTGTGACATGATTTAGAGTTTTTTCAACAGTTCAGCAGCCTGATGGCGGTGGGGAAGAAGCTGTTTTGGAATCTGCTGGTCCTGCATCGAATGCTCCGAAGCCTCTTCCCAGAGGGATGCAGGGAGAACAGTCCATGGTGGGGGTGTGAGCGGTCATTGATGATGTTACGACAGCGATGGGATGAAATGTCTTTGATAGAGGGAAGAGGAGCCCCGATTATTATTTTTTTTACATTGTTGTCTCTGTTTACAAAGTTTCCTTTCTCTATTTTGGGAAGTATGTGTTATTTTCCTTTTTCTGAGGGATAGTTACACTTTTTTCAGTTTATTTTGTTAACATGAACTAATCCCATACAAAAAGATTAAAAACTTAAATTTAGATTTCTAATGATGTCTTGGATATCCAAATGCTCCAAAAAACTTAGATAAACAGCCAATCCCCCTCAGGCCACGTGCTTCCTATCCCTAAAACAGCAATGGGCAAAAGTTGTTCTTTATTCCTGGATAGTCATTGAATATAAAATGCATAAAACTGTACATAGATCTTATCTGTTATCATATTGACTTAATGATAAAATATTACTTCACAGAAACGTCTTTCTCTCATATCTAATGGAAATAGGTGTATAAAACAAATTTTAAGTGTCGTCCAAATATTTTCTTAAACCAATCAAATGATGTATGGAAAGATTCTGTTGTTACATTATTGTTGCAAACAAGGAACATGTTTTAAAAAAAAACCCTAAATTTTGCAAATCGAAAGAAAAAAGGGATTCAAGAAATTAAACTTTCAATCACTAAAAAAGGTTTTGGAAGAAGTTTTTCACAGATTTTTTTTTTACATATTTCCAGTTTTTTATTGTTTCCAAATAATTTGAATAATTTTTTTTTAATTTTTTTGGAAAGAGTTATGTTTCAAATTTTATTTTTCCAATTTTTATTTCATTTGTCAACAGAAAACATTTGTG